CAGACGTGTGCTCTTCCGATCTATTAATTTTATCCAAATCCTCTTTATTTAAAAATGGCACGCAAGAAACTTTATGTCATTTCTCGCTGTTTCTCGCTTCTGACGTCACGAATCCAATATGGCCGCGGTGACTAGGCAGGGCCCTTAAAAGCCATTATAATCGGCAAATTATAAACTCGTGTACAAAGTTTCCATAAGTCGAATTTTCATGTTAATTCTGTTTTACTCAAATTTTGATAAATCGAAACTTATAATTCAAAGATTTTTATATTTTTGTTCCCTTGAGATTTGAGTTATCGAGGTTCAATTGTATTTTGATAAATTTTTTTTTATTGAAATTATATGTAACTTTATAATAATTATGCATAATAATACAATCAATACAATACATATTATAATATATATTTAACCTATAAAACTAAGAAATTAATTTGGCAATAATTTGTTGCAATTTTAATATTAAATAATAAATACATTTATAATTCTTTTTATACCGGCATGTAAAAAAATGAGAACCGATTTTCTTACTTTTAGATTATGTTTCAATAATTTAGCATTAATTATCATAAGCAATTTATTCTATTGTAAGTTAATAATTATTATTCGTTCGGCATTTACTTGATACAAATTTTGTCAACAGTTTTCCATTTCTTCCTTGTTTGCATATTATTTCAAATTCTTGATTATCTTTCAAAGCATTCCAGTTATTTCGGACACATTCTCGAATTTGTTTAACCTACTAGTAAATATAACAAGTATTATTGTTATATAATAACTTTTATCCTATTAAATTTCCTTTGAACTTACATTTTTTAAGACGGCATAAAATGTGATATATTTTATAGAACACATTATGAAAAAAATATTGTAAGAAAATATATTTAAAAACAGATCAAAGTTATATTCCGAGACGATTAATTTTATCGGCTAAAAAGATTATAATATGTGATTACCCACGTGAACAATATATGTGATATTACAAAATATAAACAAAAAAAAAAACACTAAAACGTCACTAACATCAAAACGAAAGTTATATATTCATATCGTCATAATATAACTATAGTGAACATTAACATGAGAGACCTCACAAAATCGTCAATCAAAAATTCCATTTAAATAATTATATCAATACCTGAGTACTTGTAAATGATATTACTATTAATAAATATATTGTAAAACGAAAATGTCTAATTTTGAAATCATCATATGGCCAAAGACCTATTGTGGATAGCAAAATGCGATTCAATCTGGAATATTGCTTTTCGTGAACCTCCATTTCAGACAACAGTTTACACGCTACTGAGCATACGGAAAGTACTGTCTATAGACTCTATAGAAACTTTTTTCTCTCTCACATAAATTTTCGCAATTATTTTTTTTATTTCTTAGACTTTTCTATAACGCGTGTGTCTGCTATATGTATAGTTGAGATAGAAGGTATATATTTAAAATTAGAAATTCTTTCCTAAAGTGCTTCTATTTATGCAAATAGAGATAAGATAATAAGAGGTAGCAAGAAAATGCGCTACTCATCCAGAAAAAACTATATCTATTTATTTAGATATGCCTATTAAGAATAACGATGGATAATGAAAAATAAATTGTCATCATTTTGAGTGCGCGGTGCACGTTAATATTTCATATATTTCCTCCTCTTATTGTTAGTAGACGCAAGCACAACAGATAGTGCAGTGTCACTTCATCGAAACTGATATTTACGCATAAGATAGCGAAAAATATTGTAATACTTCAACTGAAATATTTTGTGTTTGTAAATTATCTTAAATTAAGAAAATTTGTTACCATGTTATCACATACAAATCTTCATATTTTAATATAAATTACAAAATAAAATTACACACACATACAATAAAAATGCATAATTTATTAATGCATTTACTATAGAAAGAAAAAGAAACTTAGATGATTGATAAGATAAATATTTATAGTATTTTTCGTATTATAAAAGATAATATGCGCACATTAATTTTATATCTCCTGATAGTCTTCAATTTTCTTGATATTATTTCCGTTTTAAGTCGATACAGGCACTATCGAAATTTCGATTGAAATTACACTTTTATTACGGGCAATAAGATAGTTTCACACTCATTACAGTTATATATCATAACAGTACAATACAATAAATATACCAATATTGTACTTTAACATTTATAGACTTATCGCTAATACGTTCTTGTTAAAAAAAGTATTATCTTTAATTTTATGAATCTGTGTAAAAAATTAATATTATATATATATATATATATATCAAGGTATTTTTTAATAGATTAAGAATATATATAATTGGTGTAAAAATATTTATTAATATTCAGTTGTTATATTTTCATACCATTTTTCATAAAACTTAATAAATGAACATAAAAATGTTTTGCCAGTATTTTATTGTATTATTATTTTTTTCTATTAATTCGGAGTTAACTACGATTTATGTTATAAATTTTTCTCGTTAATAGAATTACTTCTGTACCGACCAGAGTACGGTAAAGTACGACAAAGTCGTGCTCATAAGCTGAAATTTAAAATTTACTATATAGAAAGAAAGTTAGATCGGCGATTTTTATTTAACTCTTTTTTAGCAATAATATAAATCATTAATTAAAATTAATTCATATATAATTCTCCTAAATAATTATGTAATGTTAATGCTAATGTTAATTGTAAGCAAATTTTAAAATATATCAGAAAACTGAATAAGTTAAAAACTTGGAACATTAATAAGATATTGAAATTAACTCGATTATCTCTAAAAGAGTTAAATATTTCGTACTGAGATTGCATTTACCGCTGCAAAGCCTTCCAATGATGGAACAAACATTCCGCCCACAACCATCTTGCAACTTTTCATACTTCTTTGCATTATAATTGGCAATAATTTTTGTGCTTGCAAAGGCGCGTCTTGCCATCGTGTTATGTATCTAAAAGTTTATCTGGATATTAATTTTCATTATTTATGACATCACATATCTCATTATCATCGTATTATTAGTACAATACAAAATTATTTAGAGCGTTTTTTTATTTTACGTATGTAACGTATATATTTGAATAAAAAACATATCTTAACACTCGAATACAATGATTAGTGTTAATTATGTTAAATTTGCTATCACACGTACTATCATGAAAGAGATATAAATAATTAATACATATAGAGTATATCAAGATAGTTCATTAATATTGTCAGTATCACATTGGATATGTAAATATATTTTATCATTTTAATACTTTAACTGTAATGTTATTCATATTTAATGCGTAATGCGTAAAAAATCGCAAGAATTTCATTAGAAGTAACGATTATATTTATCCGATTAAGAATAATTTTATAACAATAAGTATTTAAGACTCATTAAAGAAATAGTACAAATTAAGACATTACAAAAACAATAAAATATTAAATCAATTTGGCAATTAAAATGTTAATCGTGTATTGCGTTACAACTTACAATATTCGGCAAAATTTAATAAATAGAAATATTTATACAGATATCTTTTTAAAAATTTTATAAATCTTTTAGAATTCTGAAACATTTGCGAACTTGTACTTACATGTTTTGAAAAATACCGGCGCTATGATCTATTAAAATTTGACCAACGTAGTTACCCAAGAACAAATAAACAATATGACCAAAAATAAAAATAAATAATATTACGATTTCATTAACTCCCTTTGTAAACAGGATTACTTGAAAAAGCTAAAAAAAATATATATAAGCGAATAAATTAAACAAGTTTAGGAATAAAGTTAAGAAATATTAGTTAATCATATTAATAAAAAATTATTATAAAAAATAAAATGTTTTTTAATTGTGAAATTGATTATTAATATATAATATTCATTTCACACACTCACATATGACATATTGATAATCACAATTGTGTATAATATATAGGTAGTTATATACATGTAGATATATAGGAACATTCTCATTTTGTGTGTGTGACAATTTTTAAAAAATTTGATGTATGGAAATTTAATTAAAGAAATATTACTCACGCAGAAAAGATCAATGAGTAAAGATGTAATACCAATTATAAGGAGAATGCTGTATGATATCGCCAGAGTAGACCACAGGAATTCAGAAAACCTTGAAGAAAAAAAAGTATTGCATCGATTGATGATCGTTGCAATTTTCGTGTCCTGTTTACTATGAGCGAATTTTTGAGACATTTTCAAAATCTAATGCTATAAATCTTGTCTGAATATCGAAGATTTAATAATCCGACATATTAATCGTCCAATTAAATATCTTTTCGTTATTAATATATGTTATGAACAAAATATATTATACCGACTCGAGAGCTCTGTTGTGAATGTGTATAGCTTCAATTATCCTTTTGCAAATAATGATTGCTTGCTTTTCAGACGTGTATTCTTGTAAAAACTTTAATTGCTTGAATGCTTGTTCCATTCGATAACTGCATAAAGCACCGCATATTATCAAATTAATTGCGTATCAATTAATTAAAAAACTTAAACTAAAATAAAATAATGTTTTAAATAAAAATAAAACCAAATTATCTACATTACGTAGATTATATTATGTAGATTTACCCAATCTTCTTTTATTTTATTACCTAGCAATTTGAAACATTCCGCAAGCATGTTGTACGTACGTTACGTACAACGATTCCGTGCCTATCAAAGTGATGAGTATTAACCCTATAGCAAAATTTATTTGCAATAAAATTGCATAAAAAAACTTTTGCTGATCAACAAAGTAGTCTCCCGGAAACATAAGTTGTCGTGGACGCGAGACATTCAATGGCATAATGATATCGAGGATGCTTGGTATCAACGGCAAGAAAAGACAAAAGAGCGTAGCCATAAAACCGAGTACTGAAATTATGAAAGAGTAACTTTTAATATATTTATACGATTATTCCAAAAGCCGATAAGTTATGTATAGGGATAATTTAAGAAGGTAAAATAGAACTTTATTCAATTAATTTTAATTACATCAAAATACATATAGAATGTAATACATTATTTACAAATTACCTTATTTTTTTATGTGTTTGTCATCACGACGCTATCATATTGCTTGATAATTAACCGTTATTTTTTAAATGACTTCTTGCAATCTCAAAGTATTGATGAACTTAAATATATATATATTCGTAAAGAAATTGTAAATATCACAGTTGAAATGTTGTAAGAAGCCATAAAAGACTTCAGAGGGAGATTGCAAAAATGCATGCACTCAAGAAGTGATCATTTGAAGAAAGTTTTTTTTAAGATGTAATGTTACGCGGTATTAGGTCGCGACGTCAGATACATAAAAAGAATAAGATAATTTATAAATGACATATTACATTCTATATTTTGACGTAATTAAAATTATTTGAATATTTGTAAGTTTTTATTTCACTCTTTTAAATTTTCCCGTTTCTTGGGTTTCTACCCTGTATCTAATGTATTTAATATCTATCTCTTACTTGTCAAACTGAAGGTACACATACTTCCAATGTAAGTGTATCTTTCTAAGATCTCGCATTCTTTTTTATCCTTAAGCATATTCCAATCTTCTTCTACATGATCCATGAGATATCTTATCTGTTCGAAAAATTATAAAATAGGTAAATAAATTTAAAGAAATTAGGACTCTCAAGAATAAATCAGCAATAATAAAGTAACACCAATGCGTGCCGACATAGATGTTGGTGTAAATTTAATCGTTTCATGTTACAAATGTTAAAATGTATTTTCAATTCTTGTTATAAAAACTGTCACACATTGGTAAAAGATGCGACAAATAAAAAAAAAATTGAAAAGAAACTTATAAATTTATTGCGCATGTTTTCAATATCACACAAAATTTGAATACATTTGATAAGATACACTACCGTGTCTCTTGATTTCAGATCGGTAGAATAGAATATGCATTAAAAAGTAGGGTGGATCGAGATTTAATTCATTTTATGTTTTATGATAATCAGGACAACACTTATTTATTTTAATATTAATTTGTTTTAATATAATATTTTAAAATAAAAAAAGCAGTAATACGGATGGGGAAATACATTCTCACCTTTCTAGAGACAATACAAAATGTTATATATTTTATAATATAGATTAAGCCAAGTATGATAAGACAGAGAAGTCTCATCATGACATCAAGATTTCGATTCAATGTTACGAATTTCGCAATCTAAAATCATGAATGTCGATAACTCAGCAATACTTATTAGAAATTATTAATTTTTAAAGCGAACTCTTGTGTACGGATTGTATTAAAGGGATAATGATTTCTTGCATATAAGCTACATAACATACTCTGATTAAATGAGATAGATGATATGCTTAATATGTAATAACAGCAAAGTTTTTTCATGCGGAATTTTACATAATTCTTACCTGACCAATCATTGTGAATATTACAATAATGTTACAAAATATCGCTTGACAATACTTGTAAACTGAATGTTCATATGGCCATAAGCCAATTAATAACAAGAGACGTCGATTGAGCTTATAGTATCCATCCCCGACGAAGTTCATCTTACCGCAATTGTGAAAATACTTCTGTGCTGAGGAACGAAGAATTACCTTCACGTTCTCTTTCCCCCATTATTTTCCATATTTTTTTGAACCTATCGTATTTTCCGCTATATTGCATCTCGCTGGTCTATGAAATAAATGCGAAGAATAAGTACCGCAATTTACATATAGATCATACAATTTAGCAATTTACAAAATCATCTGTTTTAGAAAAGAAACAGCTAAAAATTCCATGTGTATTTTACATATCACATTCACACAGCGCGAGAAAATGACATGCATAGAAAAATTAATGTAGGTAATGTAAGCAATTACAATACAAGCCTCTTTCCTTTAGAGGGATAATTTTCTTATACCAGATCGCATATACATTCCTTTTCATTGTTCGTCAAGCCGTCGATGGTTGCATTTCGCGTTGAAGCAAACAGTACAGCTCTAGCATATCAGATTGTCGCTGGAGAGAAACATGGAATATACGTAAATGAATAAATCTCTTAAAACATACTTATTTCACACATATAACTCTCTTTTATACAATATACATATATAAATATAATTTTTATAAAATAAAAAAGATAAAAGTTGCGTGAATTTTACAATTTTTGGAAATTTTTATTTTATAATGTAAAATATAATTAGATATATAAATGTTTCGAATATATTCCGCATTTATCAGATAATCTCATATTAAAAAGAAGATAAAGTGTTGTTTTATGTCAATAGTACTCCAGCTTTTTTTATTTAAAATCATTGTTACGCTATAATCATAAAATCATAAAATAAGGTAAGAACATACTTCTGACCAGAATTTTTTTCTTCAATTATTGATATCATTTTTTATTTCAAAATAATTATATTAAATATTAAATCATATATTATACAATTGTAAAATTGACATTCGATAAATATCTCTTTTCTTTTTCAAATATTTTATGACTATGTGGGTAAAATTTATTAATTTAGAACATTAAAATTTTTTATTTTATTTTATTATTATAATTAAATGTATAATATATATAACATTATTATTAAATTTAATAATAAAGTAGAACACATTTTTTTTAACTTTCAGTTTTTTATTGCTAATCTTTATTATAAGAGATTTCAATACTATACAAATAAATATAATAAAATATTCATTTCTTAGTTTTTTTCAATGAGCAATCGTGATTCTAATTGCTCGTAAAATATTGAAGAAAAGATCTTCTAGTATTATCATTCAGATTGTTTAATATAATTGTGAATAAACAATGATTCAATATTTTTCAGTGTTGACTAAGAATATGGCGATTCATCTTTTTTTTTTCAAAATTTGTTAAATGTATGTGTTCTGATATCTCAGAGATATTCTATCGTGAATTTTATCGATGAGAAAACACTATGTCAAATATTTTTTAACATCATCATATGCAGTAGATACAATGACAAAACTTTTGCATCGATAGCTAATAAAATGTTGCATACACTATATATATGTCAGCTGCTTCAACAGGTAAGCAGTACAGTGTGACGCGGCGCGGTGTCGCGTCGGCGCCGGCGTCGCGACGCAGCGCGGGCGCAGTAGCGAACAACAGTCCCCATTCGCGATGTTCCCCTCAATACAGTATGAACCATGTTGTGAGAAGCTTCGGTCGTGTATATTTCTTTATTGTCGCGAAATATCATGTTTCCGTAGCGTTAGCGATATTGAGCGCATCCGTGATGAATCTTTGCCTGCTCGTAAAGTGCCGTGTGTTTATCAGAATTGTGATGTGATGTGGTGTGCTTTCTTAATTTCTAATAAAGTTTTGATAAGTCATGATAAATCGCACATAGTGTAAAGTACATTTAAACAGAGTACATTTAAAAAGTATTTTTATAGTGATTTAAATGTCCTTTGATGTGTTCTTTAATAGAATTAATAAGTAGAGCAAGAACTGTGAGATATATATATCAAGGTAAAAATAGAAATAACGTGTGCATCACAAATGAATTCTTCTGCACAACTCTTATCTAAAATTTTTTATAAACATAATGTTTTTCCTTGTTCGTTCAAAATCGTACCTCTAGCGTAAAATATAATTAATGTTGATATCTTTGCTACCGATAGTTGTCACATAAAAAAAGAAGTAATATAACAAAATAGGATGTACACTTACACAAGAGCATATAATTAATTACTCCTACAGTTGCATAAAAAATAAATTGTATATGATTTGAGAGGTCATTAGATGCACTTCTATGCTTTTATTTAATATGAAGTCCAGTCTCCATTGTTATCAAGTATTATTTGGCAGTATTTTTCATATTTTCAAATTTTCAATATAAGCAACCCCAAACATATACTCTTGCTGCGTGTTTAACGAATCTTTGTAACATTGGTAATCCACGAACTGAGCTTAATTCTCTTCTATTCTCCTTGCCAAAAATGATAATTCATCAGAAAATACTACATTGCTCCATCTTGTGTAATTTGTTTTAGCCTATGTTTTTCAATGTACTTTTGTGATTTCAACTGTAGACTGGATTTCATATTAAGTCAGATTAAAGTAAGAGTTTTATATAAACATAAAAGAGTGTATTTAATGATTTCTCAAACTATATATAAATTTTTTTTGCCAGGCAATTATATATTAGACATAAGCTTTTGTGTGACAGACTGTAAATTTAATTTTGCGAAATCTTTCTGAAGTCTTTGCGTATTAAAAACGAATTATATATATATACATATATGAACATTGGATCTAAAGTTGACTATCGAGATATTTACAAAAGTTTTATATTAAACGAGTAATTTCAGAGCATAAAATTAGGTGAATGTTCATAACTTTTTATTCAGTTGCTAATGGTTCTCTGATTTTCACAAAAAGCAAAAGGCTCCATTCAAAAAATTCAAGATAATATAGATATAACACAAGTTATATTTATATTATAGAAGCGTCAAATACAGTCGAGGATCTTGATGCTTGATAATTTTTCTATATATAAATTTTAAATACATTTGCAGTTATATAAACTGCGTGTTGATCGCTGTCGAACTTACAACGTAATCATAAATTGAAGTTGAAATAGTAATATTACAAATTAAATTGATCATCAATTTAATAATAATAATAATACTAATAAGCAAATACTAATAATTGTAAAACATTGCGAAGAATTTCTTGCGAAAAATATTACTTCGGTCAGGGTTTAAACCTGGACTATCTGAAGCGAACATCTTTTCGAATTCGGCCATTGTAAGGTGTATAAAATTTATCGCAATAATTGATACATAATAAGGAAAAATGTATTGAGAGATGAACGTATATAAACAATAATAAGTTAATACGTATATAAACAATAATAATAAGTTAAATTAAATACCTACAGTGAATAATACATCAAATAAATGCACCATACGATCGAAGTTCGATTGTAGTGCTTATAATATTTCTATGTAAATTTTAAATATATTTTTAATAATTCTATAAACTGTATGCCCGTTATTGAATTTATAACGAAATTATTAATATAATAATATAAACAAGGTAATCTTTAAAGTTCGATAGTATATATAAAAAAGTAAGAAAAAAATTAAGTTTCTGTTTAGAAGACCCACTTTCTTTATCTCTTAAAATATGTTGATAAAATCATGATTTTATAAGTAACAATCAAAAGATTTAAATTATTATATATTATTTATTAAATAGTTATTGACAAATAAAATAAACTATACAAAGAATGTATGTTAAATGCCAGATTTAAATTATTCCAGAAAATGATTAAAAATAAAAAATTTTTAAGTATTGTAATAGTTTCCAGTAAAGTTTGTTTGATGGTAAAAACTCCTTCTTAGATTAGTCACGCTTTGCGTGATAACTTTTAACTTTGTCTCCCCAAATAATTGTATATCTCGATTTTCCCTCCATCGAGTTGCTCCTATAATATTGCCACCATTAGGTAAAATTACAGTGTACGAATGGAAGGGTAATATTTTGAGATCGATGCCATATGCAAAAAAAAGGGAAGCG